TACCAACATCTGGTGGAAATTTCATGTCCTTAGCACCTCTAGTAATATATTTACTGAGAAAAATGGTGACGTGTTCAATACTTATTTTACCCACTGTATATGTACTTTAGAAGGAAAAGGTCTTGGCTTTCAGAATGAGCTAAGAGGATCACTACTGCGCAGCTGATTTTCCATCGTCTAACTGAAACGGCAGTATATTCTTGCGCAACATGGCTGTGGCAGGGAAAGGGGAAAAACAAGAGAGAAAATGATGGAGAGAATGGAAAGTGAGAGTAAATGAATGGAGTGGAGAAGACAGACGCTCTCTGTGTGAATCAGACAGAAGGTCATTGACAGATCCCTGGGCTGTTAAACAATGAATAAGCTCTGGCTCAGACGCTCAACAAACAGGGAGCTAAGAAATACTCTGCTAAAACTGGATGTGATTTATTTAGGCAGATTGTTTTTTTTTTTTGTTTTTTTTTTGGTCATGCTGTTCTATGTAGACTAATGTGTCTCTTTAATGTTAAAGGATGACGTCAGCGGTACCTGACTGTCCAGGCCCAGAATGAGCAACATGAAGAAGAACAGTGCCGCCCAGAGCGGTGCCAGAGGCATCAGAGTCACAGCCTTGGGGTAGGCTATAAAAGCCAGACCTGGGCCTGCACATGAACAAACACAAGACATTAGGAGCTAATGGCTCTCACCTTCAGAATTTACAGTCGCTCGTTAGACTTTAGAGTCACATGATCAKCTGGCTCACCGCTTTCAGCCACCTTACTGATGTCCACCCCCTGCTCCGCAGCCATAAAACCCAGTACAGAAAACACCACGAAACCAGCAAAAAAACTGGTTCCGCTGTTTATAAGGGCCAGGACAAATGCATCCCTACAGAGAGAGAAAGAGAGAGAGAGAGAGAGACAGAGAAAAAAAAACACATTTAAAAACAATTCAGGAAAGGGAAATGACTGTTCGCAATGCAAAAATCACCATAGCATGATGTAACAGAGAGGTTATGTAAGATGCTCCAGACAAACACAGGCATAGAGGAGACGGACCACGATGGTAAATTAGGAATCAATAGCAATTTCTCTAAGAGCTGCTGTTACTGTTGTTGTGGAGTGTACATCCACTAACCAGTCAGGTTGCACTTTAGCACAATGTTTTCATTTTGTCTATGAACGTCATCTTAGTCAAGCAATGAGAGTGGAGGACGTCTAACATCCTCTGGTATGCAAATTGAACTATTTTGACTTTTTTTTCTTAAGCTACGTTTGTTTTGGTTGTTTATCTATATCTATCTATCTATCTATCTATCTATCTATCTATCTATCTATCTATCTATCTATCTATCTATCTAT